CTGACAGTGACAGGTGTGCATCTGTCTGTTCCAGAATAAACCAATGCACACCCATCTAGGATGTGGCAGGAGCACAGAGGAGTGGGGAAGGGACAGGCCATGTCAGGAAGGCTTCCTGGAGTAGGTGGCATTGATACCAGCCAAGCCAAGCTGTGACCTCCCTTCCCTAACTCCACTCTGACCCCAGCACCTAACACAGTACGCACTGAGTATGTTCTAGGTTCTCAAAGTAAGGTCCCCAGATCAGCAGCATCAGCAACACCCTGGACCTTATTAGAATTGCAAATTCTCACACCTCACCCCAGAACTCACTGAACTTGGAACTCTGGGGGGTGGAACCCCCAAATCTGTTTAATGCTTCCTCCAGGTGATTCTGTCGAATGCTCTGGGCAAGCCAACTAATCCATTTTGTCACACCCTGGAACCAGTGAATAAAGAATGGAAGACCCAAGTGGCTCATGGTTAGAACTATTGCTGGAATTGAGATTTAGGATTTCCTACCGAAACATTGCTTCCCACGCCATCTATGCATCTCATTGCCAGGCATAAGTGGGAATGAGCTTCGTAAATGGGTCCTCTGTGCCCTCTAAGTACCTCTTTATGCAGTAGTACTGTTTTAATATTAAATTAAATTTTATGTAATACAGCAAGCCTTCCCTGAACACTAACCATTCTCTCATGTGTGACCCTTTAGGGCTTACAAAGTCTGTTCATTCAGCTCTTTCCCCTTCTTATCACAGAGATCCAGCCTGGCAAGGGTGGTGACTATCCCCATTTTACAGATGGGGAAACTAAGACTCAGGAGTTTTGCAATATCTTGTCTGAGGTCCCACAGATGGTGGGTTTGCATGTGAACATAGGATTGTCTGACTCCTTCTACTGCCCCATTGAGTCCAGATGTGCAAGACACTGTCCTGAATTTTCTAGGGTAGAGAAACCCACCAAGGAGCTAGTGGGGAAGATAAGACAAATACCTTAAATAACGCAGCTCAGCACTGAGTCATGGATCGTTCTTCTGTCTTTGCTGGGAGGCAGACCCGTCACTGGCTGAACCTAGGACACTGCCTGAAAAGTAGCTTCAACAGAGACAAGCCTTCCGTCGGCGAGTTGCAAATGAAATGACGGTTCTCTAAGTGCTCTTCTGTGCCTGGCTCCTCGAGGAAGCACTCTGACCACCTGCTCCTCAGAGGTGATTGCCAATCCCATGAAGGACATAGCTTTTAATTTACTCACTGGATTAAAGGAAATGCTGATCCATCATCTAAGAATGGCCTGACTGGCTCTGCTCAGAGGTCTCTAGCAGTTCCTTTCCCCTCGCTAGGCCTCAGTTTCCTTAGCTGGACAAGAGGGAGTGAGAAGCCGTGGTACAAGGGCCCTCCCTGTGCTGAGTGGTGGCAGAGCATGACCAAACTGTGGGATGGCTCTAGTCACCCCCATGTAGGCTCAAACCTCCAGAACTTGGGCTCCAACAGAATCTCCAGTGGGAACCATTCCAAGTGGGAACACGCATCCCAGGATGTATCCTGCCAGCTGTAAACAAATGGGGAAACTGGTGCAAGGCTGATGAAAGGCACGGGGCATTTCCTGGGGGCTCTGGGAGGGTGAGGGCTCTGACTGTATTTTATGCAGCATCTTAGAGAGCAGCAGGGAGCCCAGACGTCAACTGGCTTAGGGGTTAGGCTCTGGAGTTGGAATTTGCAGGTTCAAATCCCAGCTCCGTGGCTGACTAGCTATGGCCCCTGGGCAAGTCATTTCTTCTCTCTGCACCTCAGTTTCCTCAATTTCCTTAAAAGGAGGAAACTAATGTCCCAGAACAGTGGTCGGCAAACCACAGCTCATGAGCCACCTGCAGCTCTTTGGCCCCTTGAGTGTTCTAATGCCACTTCTTCAAAATAGACTCGCCCAGGCAGAAAACCTGCTTCTGCTCATGGGCCACCAAGTTTCAGTCGCACTGAACGTGCGCGCCTGCATGTGGTATTTTGTGGAAGATCCATACTCAAGGTGTGAGGGTTAAATGGGATAATGCCCACAGATAGTGCTTAGTAAATGCCAGCACTTTCCCAGCAAGGGGAAGCTTGTTACATGCTTTCAGGTGTAACTGAAGTCCTTATTACTCACCTGGACCCTAAATCCATGTCTCTTCCTTGGTGGGCCCCGCTTTGCCTTTTGGGGGACCTGACACACCACACCCTGTGGGAACCTGAGAACACTACCAGGTGTCCTCATCCAAGGTAACCATGCAGAATCAGAGAATACGAGGCATGCAAAGAGGTGGTAATGATTCTGCCGAGGCAACTTAATCCCTCACAGACGTTCCCCAGCTAAGGATCCCGTACCCCAGGTTATGACGACCCATCACAGACTCCTGAGAGCCCAGAAAAGCTGTGAGGAGCATCTTCAATAGGTTTGTAATAAGGGAGGCAGGGCATACCCGCTCCCTGACTACACTTACGACTTGCACACAGAATCTCTCTCTCTCTCTCTCTCTCTCTCTCTCTCTCTCTCTCTCTCTCTCACACACACACACACACACACACACACACTGCTCACCCAGGTGGGAACATTATCCTTCACTCCTGAGCAGACACACTTTGGGTTTACAAATGGGACCATGGCAGCACTTTAGAAATCGAGCCAGTGGAGCTGCTACAACCCATCCTCATTACCTGACAGGTGGCCCATCCACTCTCACTCTGTCTGCACTCTGGGCTGAGAACAGGAGCTGCTCCTCACTTCCCAACGCCGCACCACACAAGCTCTGTGCACAGACACCGGGAGGGACCCAGCCATGACTGAAGGCCCTGCTCACAGTCCCTCCCGCCCGAGTGAACAGCTTTCTCCTGTGCCCCAGGAGTCAGACCTGAGCCAAAAGCTTCTTGGGAAAAGCACTGCCGGACATGCTCCAGAGCAGTTCACACAGAGATAAGCGACTCCAAGAGACACAGACAGGGGCGTGATCCGAGTCTGTCTCCCCATCGCCCCATAGCACTTGTGATACAATTCCGTGACATAAACCAAGTCCGGATAGAGGTTTGCAGACGTTCTAAAACCAGTGCTGGGTGGAAGTGGGCCCGTGCTAGCCTGAGAGCCATCAGAAGAAATGATGTCTGAGAGGGCAAGTGTTTTTCACTTGGACATGCACAGGAATCACCTAGCTGTCTTATTAAAACAGGTTCTGACTCTACAGGTCTGGGATGGGACCCAAGACCCTACATTTCTCACCAGCCGCTGGTCCAGGGGCCACATTTGGAGCAGTGAGGCACCAGACTAGACGAGCATCAAAAGCAGCACAGTTCCGAGTGACCTGCATGCGCTCAGTCCAGGAGAGGGGAGGGGTGGGACCCCATACTTGTCTGCAGGGCTATCTCATGCCACTGGCCCTTGCTATCTGGAAGAATTGTCACATGAAACTGGTGTTTGCAAAGAGCAAGTTCTTTGCAAACAAAAGGCAGCACTGGCTCCTTCTAGCTCCTCTCACATCCAGGAGGAACCTTGCCCCTCATTAGCTATGTGAGGGCACAGGGACGGTCCTCAGATTCCCTTGTGCCGGGGGGAAGGAAGGAGACCTGAGATGGCCGAGGACCTTCAGCCACACGACTACCTCACCCCTGGCTCTCAGCCAAGTGCTCAGAGCCTGGCGGGCGGGCGGGACCAGCGCCTACAGAACAAACTCTCCACAGTGAGAGGAATGTCCCCCGGGGATGAGCGCAGGAAGCTTGCCAGGCCGGAGAGGCAGAAAGGAAGCCCATGGGATGCATGGCTGCACCAGGGCAGGCTCACAGAGGGGGCGACATTTGAGCTGGGCCCCAAAGGAGGTCTGGGGTTTTTCCAGGTTAAGATGCAGGAGGGAAAGGCATGTCCAGGCAGAAGGGACAGGATGTGCACAGTGGTACGTCCAGGGAACTGTGAGCAGAATGGGCATGGGATGGGGGCCTCACCGTTGGGGCCCAAAAAGGGAGGAAGGGTCTAGTTGTGCATGAAAAAAGGAAAGTCTGAGAAATGTAGATTTAAAAGAAATTAAAAATAAAAACGCTCCCTTTATGACCTTCAATGTGGTAAGAATTAGTCATTCAATTCAATGTCTCTTTTTTACATGCCTAAATTTTTAAATGCATAAGATTTTTGTGTGTGTGTGTGTCTGGCTTTTCATCTCTTAAAATTGGATTGGAGCATTTCACTCGGTTGTCATAAACTCTTTATAAAGAGCACCTTTAGTGGCTGCACAATATTCCACTTAACCAGCCCCTAGCTGCTGGGCATTCAGGTTGTTCCCCATTTTTCAGGCCCCTGAGCAATGCCTTTTCTGAATTTTAGATCGTAACCTCAGCACGAATCCCAAGGATTGGAACCAGAATCGAAGGGAATGACCAAGCTCAAGACCTTGAGGCACTTGGCAGACTGTTTTCCAAAAGGCTGGAACCCAGCCTCAGAGTGGGGCAGAAGGGGGGCACCTGAGTCATACCAGGGGCTCTTGGCCAGGGGTGAGCCAGCCCTGAGGTCAGGATGTGCCCAAGGCCCTGCTCTGTGAACAGCTCCGTGGTAAGCCGGGACAGCCCTGGCCGCATACAGGCCTAGCAAGCTGCACAACTAGGTGTAGCATTGGGTTCCCTCAGGCCCAACAGGAGAACAAGGCAGATTGGTTTTGTTTTAGTTTCTAAGAAAGTTCTTTCTGAAGCCTAAGATCTTAGCTTCAGTGCGTTAGAGCATTACGGACAGGACAGAGACAGAGCCAGACAATGAGATCCGCTGGGGCTTCTATGAAGGCTGGGGAGACGGGAACTGAGACCCAGGATTTCCTCTTGGCCTGGCCTCCCTCCCCTCCAGGACTCTCGTGTTTGAGGGGGTCGGCTGAACCAGGAGCAAGGACAGCCCGACTGGATTACCCACTGCAGCCGTGGGCTTATCTGAGCAGGCAGGGACCGCGCACGGACTGCCTTTACCAAAGGCGGGTGTCCGGCGTGGGCCAGTGCCGCCTCTGAGCAGGGCCGCTGGCTCCTTACCTGCCAGGGCTGGGATGGTGACCCGGTTCCACTCCCACGGCTGGTCGTACTCGTCGGCGGGCCTGTCGTCATCCTGGGGCAGCTTGCTCTCCCGCAGTCGGGGGCTGACTGTGCTCTCCGAGTCCGAGTCGAAGCTTTGGCCCTCGGGTTCGTAAGGGGTGTCGTACAACTGGATGCCTTTGTGCTGGGACCGGACGCTTTCCTGCCTCTGAAATTCTGCAGGGGGGGAAAAAAAAGGAAGCAGGTGTATGGAATTGAAACCCACACTTCCTCACCTGGGATCTGCCAGGTGACACCCACAGGGGTTCAGAGCCACCAGCCAAGGACCAAGGAGGTGAGGACCGCACAGGAATAGCCCCCTTTTCTGCGGTCAATTGCTCCTCCCACCCCTTGAAGGCAGCATCGCTGCTCTCCCCGGGCAAGGTTTCCTCACAAAGACCTCAGGCTCCCAGGCCTGATGAGAGAGGGTAGAAGGCTCACTGCCCCCGTCCGCAGGCTCACTGCAGTCTCCAGGGCACGGCCCCGACGTGCACAGGCGTGTCCTCACACCAGCCCAGAGCACACAGAGCTCTCACCCTCGCTTCACAGGCCAGTGGAGCCTCCTCCAATAGGACGGCTCTCCATTCTGGGCTGAACAACGAACGGCCCTCAAGTTTCCACCTAGCTGCATCTTCATTTTTAAAGGCCCAACAAGCCTCCCCAGGGAGCCTGGGGCCGCGGTTTTCTCCCCTGTGAAGTGGCTCCCTCCCAGCATTCCCACCTCCCCCAGAGCCTGCCTGTCTCCTAACACACGGAGCACCCCCGAGGGATGAGAGAGCAGGTGTCCATTCCACTTCTGAATGAGGAAGGAAAGCTCTTAGCTTCCCGGGGAGGGTGCCAGCGCCGGCTCCCATGTGGACGGAGGGCTACATCATTCCCGGGAGGCCAGTGGGGGCAAAAGAGGGATGCAAGGAAGCTACAGTCGGGTGCTTCTGAGCCAAACAGAAACACTCTCCCTGCTCTGATCCACACCCACCGTGTGCAGGGCCCGCATGGGGCACAGGGAAGGGAGGGTTTGCTGCAGAGGCTGCGTTTCCAGAAGAGATACAACAACCCAATCACTATGACACTGTACAGCGAAGGGGCCTGTGAGGGTTGAGGCAGGAGCAGAAGACATTGGAACTGACAGCTCTGACAGGTGGGAAGTGGGAGAGGGCAGGATTCCCGGGGGTAGGACCAGGGCCAAGTCGGTGGGGCTGGGGAGAATGCTCCTTGCCTGCTTTCCTGGTGGAACATATCACATGTGCCATTTTGACCATTCTGAGTGAACAGTTCCGTGATATTAAGTATATTCAACCACCACGTCCATCTCCAGGACTTATCCGTCTTCTCAAATGGAAGCTCTGGACCATTAAACAATGGCTCCTCATTCCTCCCTCTCCCAGCCCTTGGTAAGCACCATGCTATTTCTCTCTGTATATTTGATACTTGAGGTAACTCATCTAAGGCGAATCTTGGGATATTTGTCCTGTGCCTGGCTTATTTCACTTAGCATAATGTTTTTAAGTTTCTTCCATGTTGTATTATGTGTCAGAATTTCTTTTTTTTTTTTTTAAAGGCTGAATAATATCCCATTGTATATCTAGTCACTGTCCACTTTTGTTGGAGTACTGGGTCCAAGGAGATGAGAGGGTGGAGGTGAGGTTTGACACAAAAGGGGTGAGGGTCGTGAGAGTGAGTTGTTTACACATTCTCCGAATCAGAGTTCCAATGGCAGAGAGATACATAGAATCATATGTGCCTTAAAGAGCAACCGACAAAACACATGAGCGATGACAGCCCTTCCAAGCAAGAGCACTGCCTTTAGGCCAGCTCTTGGGGTGACAGATGTCCTAGCCCGAGTACAGGCCCTGACACAACAGAAGCCAACTGGGGCTGTGCCGGGGCCGGCAGTGTGGACGTTCAATAACGTTAGGGAAATGCTTCTCAAGCTTCATTTAGTCATACTTTTGCCATTTTTTGAGTGCCAACAAGGCTATTATTTACCACATTTATTCATTCACTTCTTAGAGAAAATAATATTTAAAAAGTAAGACATCATCTCTAAACTGTTGATAAACATAAAAGGAATGAGGGAGGAGTAACTCGGCCAGGCAGGTACCACTGCCCACCAGGAGGCCGGCCGGAGGCGTGCTTCCCCTTGGCTGAACAGGAGATGAGCAGATACTGGACAGCTGTCAGGGACACAAGCACCAGAGAGTTTCCTTGTCACTTTCTCCTTTTAGAGAGAATGAAAAGGGAAAAAAAAACCTTCTTACAACATGGTTCTCAGGCCACTTAAAATCCTGTCTCCTCTGAGAGCATGTCCCATACTTTGGCAAAGCACACTTTATTGTGAGTAAATCTGTTAGTTTTGGGGATGATGTTTCCGATTCCATGGGGGCGGGGAGAGAGAAGAGGAAGTGAGAAGAGCTACAGAAGGCAGAACTTGGCCTGACCTGTGTGGCTCAGTGAGTGGGAGTATCATCCTGTACACTAAAAAGGTGGGTTCAAGGTTCCAGTCAAGGCACTTACTCTGGTTGCAGATTTAATCCCTGGTCGGGCCAGTGCAGGAGGCAACTGATCGATGCTTCTCTCTCACACATCGATGTTTTTCTGTCTCTCATTTCCCCCCTTCCTCTTTCTAAAATTATTATTATTATTATTATATTTTTTAAAAAGGTAGAATTTGGTCGGCTGAAGGTGAAGACCAACTATAAAGCACTGTAGACAAGGGATCTGACCTGCTCTGTAAGGTCGCTGTCATCTGTGTCCCTCTCACCCTGGTTCCTAAGGAGTGCAGCCTTGCCTCCTGTCTTTGGAGAATTCCGAGTGCTGAAGACATGGGGAACACAGATAGGCCCTGACCCAGGAAAATCCCTTTCTTCTCCATCCTATTTCAGAAGCAGGACAGCAGCCACGACTGGTAAACTGCAGTTTACAAAGCACTTTGCATGCGAATCACCATGTAGTCTTAAGCACCACAAAGCAATTCGCAGATGCATTTCTGTGGGCCCCTTACCCTCTCTCAGAGCCTGGCTGCAAACATATTCAATGGGTCTGGGTGGGGTAAATGAGTGACAACTGACAGCCAGATTTGCCCCCAGTTCCAATTAATTCCTGAAAGTCCCCGACAGCCATGTTGCAGTTCAGTATTAGGCCGTATTCAGAAGAGACGGATATCCCTACATAAATACCGACCTAAAAGGAAAACACGTGCCAGGGAACAGATTAGCTATTAAATCAGAGGGCCTCGCGAGTGCACCTCTCACCCAGGATTTATTGTTCCCAAAGCATCTGCGCCTCACAAAGCTGGGTTAGTAATGGCATGCAGTTAGGGCAGCCGATGTTATAATGGCAATCATTAAAACAAGCTTCCTCCGTTTTACATGGCGAATTCAAATTTTCATTAAGGCTCCGACAATAGGGAACGGTTAAGTAAATTATGGCATGCTAACTGGATGGAATATTAAGCAGCCATTAAGATGATAAATCTGAAGATTATGTAGCTACATGGAAAAGCATGCATGAAATTATGCTAAGTTAAAAAGTAAAACACAAAATTGTTTATGTGTTGAGAGAGCAAGCCGCATAATATGGGCTTTCTAAACAAATCCTGGACAATGTGAACATGCCCGACGGGAATCCTTCTCCTGGCTTAGGGACTGCTGAATGCCGGCATCCCATAATATCTAAACTCCGATGGCAGCGGTAATCACACATGAATAAGGGGCTGAAACTCTGAGGCAGGAAGGTAAACAGTCACTGTGTAGAGAGGAAGGAATTACTGCATCGTTATTTTTGAACATGGTTTTAAAAAATGAATAAAAATGCTAGTAAATAAAAAAATGTAATTAAGACGGGAACACAAAAGTAAATATAATTGTAAGCAGGCCGGGCTTACAGGCGCTGTGCGTGTTTCGGAAGCAGCTGCCTTTTCCCTGAGAAAAGGCCCATTGAGGGAGCATCTTCTCTCCCAGGAGGAGTTAGCCAAGAGCCCCAGGAAGTCAAGGGCCGTCACGCCAGGCCAGCTCACCAGACGCCACGTCTCCTGCCTAATGACCAGGTCCATCCTCTTTGTTACCTGGACCGATCTGTGCCGACCCAGAGGCTGATCTAATAGGGGAGCTGGTGACCATATGCTTTAAGTCACTGTGTTATCTGGACATCACCATCTATCTGTATATTAATGGAAAATGCCCTTTAATAGTGGGTGGCAGGCTGTGATTACATACCTCTGAGGCAGGGAGCAGAAACATTAAACTGACAGGGTGGGGATTTCTCTCGACCTCTGGAGTAGAGAGGTTTCCAAGTGGAACTGCGTATGGAGAAAGAACAGCAGAAGAACTGAAAGAGATCCTGGGCGCATTCACCACGGGCACAGGGCCAGGAGGTGAGGTAGGTGCACTGACCAGCTGGCCACGGAGAGGCAAGGGCCAGGGGACTATCTGAGTGAGGGGCCCAGGACAGAGCTTGGTGCAAACCAGGAGCCTCCTGAGTGGATCTGACGAAGGTTTAGAGTTCCCCAAGCCCACAGGCAATAAGCTGTATGCTACATTTCACGCCGGCATTCATCAACTCGGTGCCTCCCACCCCTTTTTTGAAATTTCCTTTGGCTGCCAGGAAGCTCCTAGCTTATTTAGAGGGTTAACTTTAATAGCTATGTTAGCTTAGATATTACGTAGATCCTCTGGCCCTTCCTTCTACATGGACTTTGATTATTATAATAGCCTCAGTATACACATTTCTTTTTATTATAGTCAGCCTCAAGTCTACATTTTGAAAGTAGATGAACCCACAAGTAAATGAAAATATACACTAACACACTTTTATGGTAAATACATTTACTAGTAAGAAGACTGGAAGAAAAGAAACCTTTTCTTTACCTCTTTACCTTCCCTACAGGAACAGGAAAAGGAGGGCGGGGCTTGGCTTCAGTCTCAGGGAGCACCAGCCAGAGCTGGAAGGAGACGAATGAGGCACAGTCCTGGCCATCAGGGAGCCCCTGACACAGACTCCGCATCAGGGAGCAGAGAGGGCACTACAGTTCAGCTGGGGAAACTGGGGAGGGCCTTAAGATTTAGACAAGAGGTTGTGGCACAGAAAACAGAATTTGATGGAGGCACAAGGGATGAGAGCACAGGTGTACCTGGGGAAGGAGGGTCATCAGGGGCCAGTGAAAGGGGAAGCCGGAGGCA